TAATGATTTCTTCCTATATTACTTGGTTCTTCTTTCTCTTTAACCCCTTAACTGCCGCGGGCGTATATATACGCCTTGCTCAGCCGATGCGTTAACTGCCCCAGATGCGCAGCCGATGCGTTAACTTTGCGAATAATTTTAGGTGTAGCAGCGCAAAGCAAATGATAGCAGTTTGGAAGGACGTATATATACGCCTGGGCAGTTAACGCATCGGCTGAGCAAGGCGTATATATATGCCCGCGGCAGTTAAGGGGTTAAATATTAAATTCAGAATATCTACATCAATATATTTTAAAGGTTTTAGCATACCACAAGCATTTTGATGAACACAAACTAATGTTGTAATAAATATTTTCTAAATTCTGATTGATATTGTAAAACCAGGGCCGGATGAAGACTTGATGACTTTTAAGGGCTTAAAAGATTTTGGTGCCCTCATATATATTTGTGCCTGATTTTTCTCTTTCATTCTTGGTTTAACTGCACTGTACATTTGATGGTAAAAATAGCAATGAGAAATTCTTTAGATGCCCCCTTTCCTGATTCCATAAGTAACTTTTTGTGGTACCTCTTTTCCTTATTGACCTAAGCATGTGTTTGTTTTGCTTAATGTTTAATCCAGCTATGCATAAAATTAATTGAAAACATTTTTTCTTCAAAAACAACACAAGGCCAGCAGAATGAATTACCTCTTAGTTTGCAAATCATTAATAATTTTAAGTTTATATAATAATATTCCACCTTGGAACAATGATATACTCTTTCATGTTTGTACAAATGAGAAAATATAGGGTAGATACATTGTATAATTTCTTTTAAATACATATTATCTAAAAAACATGATAAACAAGTGATAGAGGTGGTAGAATTTTGATACTGGCAGTTAATCAGCAAGTTTTCATAAAACTGCTTTAGAAGTTGCTTAGAAGATAAGCTGTTGTACATGCACTATAATAAACTCCTATAGGGACTACATTTTCATACCAATTCCCTCTCCATAGTTTGAATTTAGAATTAACTGCTTCAATATGTTTTACTTCAAATTCTTTCATGTATCACAAGAATATTTCAAGAAGATAAATTAGAATATAATATTAAAAGTTAATTTTGCTGATAAAAGTCATGAGGAATTTGAAATTTCTTACTACATGCTGTTAACTACCAGGAGTAGTTAATAGCATGTCTACTGTATTATGGGAGCTGATAAAAGCCAGTTAGTACTTCCTCGTGTTAAAGTGCAGTTTATGCAAAAATATGACTTGAATTTGAAAGGCCTTGTATTCTCAGAAGAAAGAAATATATGTTCCTTTTAATGCTTTTGAATGTTAGGTAAAAATTTGCTTGAAAATGTTATTATCTAAAATGTTGGAGGACTAGCCTAGTCCTTTACAATCTACTGACAGCAAGCTATAAGTATGTATATACTATAATTGTTGGAACACACACATAAAAAAAAAAATGTTATGACTATTGCATAATCTGCCAGCTTAGTGACCATCACTAATTAAATAAAAAATTTATAACACCTATTCATATTTCATTTTAATTCTGTTATGAAGCATTTTTTAAATCACTTTATTTTGATGTAAAAGTTTGGGTACTAGTCTGAGAATAAGTGCCCATTTAAAGAATTTAAAACAGGCTTAGAAGCAGTAATAAATTATAGAGTATGTTATTTGCATATTGCAAAGCATATAATGGCTAGCTGCCTATGGGAAGGGATGGCTTTGTAGAGGATTTTCTAAGGTAAACTGGCTGGCATTCACGCTAACATTGGGGTAAACCAACTATGCAGCCAGCCCATTCACCTAGAACCTAGATCAAATTACGAGTATTCAGTGGTCCTTAACCACTCAGCGACTAATGGGACTTTAATAAATAACTAGAAGTAGTTTAATGATGGCTTTAAATTTCAAATAAAAAAAGTGCTTTTTATGCATCAATATTCATCTTTGTTCCTTTTTTTTTTATCTTCTAAATATGGTTGCAGGAAGCTACTGCAATTTATCAGTGTTTTCTTTTATTATTAGTTTTTGTTTAACTTTGAGTGAAGAATTTTGAACAATGTGTTTATAATAATTTTAAAATCATTTTACCATCAGACCTTGTTATTAGGTTATTCCTTAGAATCTGATTAAAGTGACCTAATATGGGAAGTAGGACTTAAAACAATGAATTTATAAAGATATGATACAGCAAAGGAAAACAAATACTGACATTCAACTGATAATATAACTAAGTAGTGAACAAATGATTGAACATCAGTAATTAAAGTTCTGTTTAAAGGTTGTTTGCATATTTGTTTAGTATACTACAAAGCACAGAAATTTGAATTGCATCAAAACTGTTTAAAAATTCAGTAGCACATGATTGTTTTTCTTTCAGTATTTCTGTAAAACCTCCTTTTCCAAAATCTGGAAATCAAATGCTGTATTTTTTTTTTTTTTTTTTTTTTTTTTTTTATTTCACTTGTCAACAAACATAAAAGTTGCTTGTACCAAGAATTGAAGTCATTGATATTTTTAAAATTCTTTGTTTTGGAATTGAAACTGTTTTTCAAATTTCATGTAATTTAAATTAAATTTAGTGTGAGGGACAAATTTATAGCTCTTATTAATCAAATATTAATGAAATTTGAAGCCTTAATAAGAAAGCAATTGTAGAAAATTTTACAGATAAAAAGGGGCTCTGTATTTTAAAGAAAGAAATCATGCATACTGCATGATTTTCTGTAAAACCATTTTATTCTGGAACTAAATGGCTAAAGCATATTCAGTGACTGAAATTTTAAGATTCATATATACCTGAAATAAGCATATTGTGGTACTTTTATGTATTGATTCATAAATTTTTGTTTTTTCAAATGATATGTATGTTGCCATTAACCATATAATTCCACACTTAATAAATAATAATTTCACTTAATAAATTCATAATTAAGCATCTTAACTAGCTATTTCAGGGAACAATTAGTTATTCTATAAATTAACTAATGGTAGACACTAATTCAGAAGTCAAACAACAAAAATCAGCGTTATATTCACAAAATTTTCACAGGACTAGGACTAGGATTTCATAGGACTTTTCACAGGATAGTCCTGTGAAAATTTTGTGAATATAACGCTGATTTTTGTTGTTTGACTTCTGAATTAGTATTTATTCGGCGTGTTATTGTGTCTTAATTAATGGTAGACAATTAAAGTAAAAAATAAACAATTTACTGAATTATACAACATACACAATGTTATTTATACAAAGACATAATAAAATCATTACAACAAGGGATTATTAAAAGGCTATTTGGAAATGCATAAAACAATATTTCTAAAACAAATTTTTTCTTGACACACTGCATTTTATATTCATTTTTTAAATCTCTGGCTGGTGCCTAAACTTTGAGCTATAGCAACCGACCGAAGCAATTCCACAATATCCGTCACTTCTTCTATCTTAATTAGTTTTTCTTTAATAGGCTCAACTGGAATCGAGAATATAGCTGTTTTATGTGATTCTTGTTTTCAGTTAAAATCTATCTTTGTTATTTTCATGATAACAGCTAAAATAGATATGATGTAACCTCATGGACTGTAAGCCTCGAACAGGCTTCAGAATGAGATTTATGTGATATTAATTTTATCTTCTTAGCTTAAATTTCCAAACATTCTTTAGAATTTCCTCTTTCTCTAGGAACATTCAGTTTGCCGATCTTCTGAACAACTGTGTCTTCCAAAACGTAGTCTTCTAAACACGATATGTCAGCAGAATCATTACATCGCTGCATTCTCATGGACAAATCATACATACTTTACTAATGCATTATTTAATTTTGTTTCTTCAATAACACTGCATTATCATGTTCCAAGACAATTGATGATAAGTATTGATTTTTATGAGAGTATGATAAAAAAATGGTATGATAATCTGTATACATTAAGTTCAGCAAATGATCATTAATTATAAAAATATTACATGTAAAAGGAAGTAATAGTTTCCATATTCTTAAATGAAACATAAAAGTTAATATCATTATTATTACATAACATTTTATAATGGGTTGAAAATAATGCGCTATTTCTGACCAGTGGCTCTCTCTTTATTTTACAGCCTTTTGAATTTGAAACTTTAATTAAAATATCTGAATCATGCCAGTTATTTTATGTTTTAATGGAGGGTGGAGTATTATTCTGTGGAATAACCAGTTAAAGTATGGAATTAGAGTTTATTACATACTTGAACTGACTTGATCAGTTAATTCATGAAATAACTATGTATTCCATGCGTTAACGATAACATGTACTTTATGTCTGCATGTCTGATTTTTCATGCTAATTAATATGCAATTTGTATCTAGATCCGAAATAATGATGTTATTCCTAAGAAATAAATAACATTAATAACTTTTGAATATAATGTAATTAATAGCCTTAACATATCCTTAATTTTAGTAACTTTTCAGCTCTGTTTCCATCAGTGGTTAGATGGCTAAAACTGCAGAGCACCAGTAATGTGTCTTGGATGTAATTTCCTCCAAATAGAAAAGCTGCCTAGAGTTTCTGTAGTCTTTCTTATACGTAACATGAATACAAGATGATTTCCCTTAGAAAAGTCCTCCTCAAGGCAGATGGCCCTTGCATACTTTGTTATAATCAATTGATCAAGTTATTGACTTTTTAAAAATTTGTCTTCTGTTCTTGCATTTGTGAAAATATTAAATAAATTAAATTCTTTAATAGGCAAATAAAGATTCAAAACTGTAAGGTTATGTGGAATTCCTTTCTTAGTGAAATAAAGATTATTTCCTGTTGCATATAGCATTAAATTAAAAAAATGAAAAATGTTATTTTTGATTCCTGATTGCATTTCTGAAATTCTATTATATATGTATCTGTGTGAAATAATTATGTGTTACTATGTATATACAATGATGTTTGAAATAATAAAGTGACATGTTTTAATAAACATATGTAAATAATCATGAAATAATATTTATCATATTGCAGCATGAAAAGGGCACATATGTGTATTGCGTTGCTTGGAATCAGAAGGATGCCCGAAAAATTGCTTCTGCTGGAGGAGATGGAACGTGGTAAGAACTTTGATTTTATAATAACACTTCCCAAATTCTTTTGAAATAAAAGTTAAATTGTACTCCTTTTAATAAAAATACTTAATTTTGTGCTTTTGCATTAGTTTCACTGCAGTTAATCATTCATCCTCGTTACTTCGAGCTGATAATGGGAGGAATTTAAATTTGTTTTATAGTTACTGTGAATTTGGGTGTTTGAATTTCAAATTTAATAGAGTAGTAATTTTCAAATGACAAAATTAATAAATATAATAGGTAACATTAATATCATGTCATAGAAAAATAGCATTTAATGTGTTAAGAACTATTCTGCATTTGATATTGGGTCGCTGCAAAAGTTCCATGGTTTATCAAATCAAAACACATTTTCTCCTAATTATTTTATTACTGCTGATACAAAGTGATCTTGATTAAAGCAAATGTTAAAGTACAGTCTTTTCTGCACAAATTCCGCAATTCCAGCATGTTAGGGCATAATTTTTGTTTCATTGCAGTGCTAAAAGAATGGAGAACCTAAATTTTATTTTCGTCATATTACATTCTTTTATTTTAAAAATAGGAGAAAATTTCTAGTCAGACTGTTCATAAAATCCGAGTTATATGTGGAAAGAATGCTGTTTCTGATGATGGTTTGGGAAGTTTAAGCAAGGAAATTGCGGCCTAAAAAATTGGTGTCAACTCTGGATGACTATTATTGAAAACTACATCTTTGCATTTTTCCATCTAATACATGAGCGAGAGTATAAATATTATCTTGCAATTTATAAATCTTTTAGTGATGATCAATTTTAAATCTTTTAGTGATAACAGGTGTAATTCGTTTTCTTCGTCTTCAGAAAAAGTGATTTTTTTTTTTTTTTTTTTTAAATCAGCGTTTTGTGATTTCGCAATGTCAAACGTGTGATTAATGTTTATCGAGAGCATGAGAGTTTTTTATAGTAATTTTGAGAAGCACAATAGAGAATGTATACTAGAAAAATATTAAAAACTTGTTTATTGAATAATGTGATTTTGTGAAAGATTTGAGAAATGTAATGATTCCCGTTCGTAGTCTCCAAATAAGGTTTGTGAAGGAAATGTTTCTTCTGGTTAGATATCTTTACATTGCCACTAAAAAAAAATCTTCCATAAAAAAAGAATGTAATAAAAGAAATTATCACTAAAAATCCATATTATCCAGTACAGGAACTATCAAACAAGCTAACTATTCCAAAAGCTACACTAAAGATCATTTGAACAAGATTGGATATCCAAGCCTTTGCTTTGAATGGGTATCTGATAATTTAACAGAGCAGAATGTGCTTATTTAAGTTTTCAGCATGGGGTTCTTTGTTGGAAAAAATAAGGAAGATTTATTCTTAAAATAGCTTATGACTGGAGATGAGAAGTCAATTCAGTACAGTAACTGGGGCTACAGTATAGCAGCTGGAGATGAGAACTATACAATAATGTTACAAAAAAAAAGGTCATGGTATAAGCCAAAAGAAGCTCCTTTAGTGACAGTGAGAAGGGGCTGCATCCTTTAAATAGTTATGCTTATGAATCGCTGCCACTTAATTGGGCAGTAAATTTGGAAAATTATTCTTCCATTACTGTACTTTGTAATATCTAAAAAGATCTTCATTTTATCAAGTGTTGTCAAAAACTTCTTGTCTCATTCAAAAATTGGCGATGTCCACATTTTCCTTGTGACTAATACTTACTCATTATTTGTCATGAAATTTAAAGCCAGATGTGATATGTGTGTGAAATCTCCTCCTTCCCAACTGCATAAGTCAAAAATGAACCAGAGCATATTATTTTTTAATCTAATATTATATATTAACCTCTTAGTTCACTCAGTCAAGTTAACTCAGGTACGGCAAGTTAAATTCCATCCATTTGAGTACAAATAAATGGATCCTACGAATAAATGGATACTCAAATGGATCCATACGTCCATTTGAGTAAATTTGTTCAAGGGTTCCCCCCCCCCAGTTGAATGCAGAAAAATATATGCACTGCAGTTTTCAGTTAAAGTAAAGAAGAAAAAAGTTGGCCAAAAAGACACCATTTTCTGAATTTTTATTGGTGCATTAAGGTCTTGATACTGCTGTGCATGCTGTCATGATTACTATGCATGCACATTCTGAATTCAAATTAATGCTCAATAAAATGAAAATCATGGATATTACACAGCTAGGTGTTGACCTTTGCATATTTGCTCTTATTTATGACTGCTTTTATGAGATTTACTAGTTTCCTATTAATACTTTTACATCTGTATAGGTTCATAATAGGTTGAATGAATACAGAACTGATGATAGTTTGATAAAATAGATTTCACCAAAAGAAAACTTCACATCTCTAGAACTTCCCATGCAAATAGTCATAAACACTTCACAGTACAATCAGTAGTTACACTTCAAACTACTAAGAACATTAGACATAGTGCAATGCAAAGCGCATCTAAAAGGTGAAGCTTTCATGGATATCTAAACACCTTAAATTCAGCTCTGAACTAACAACCGAGAAAGTGATGCTATCTCCAGTCTTATATAGTTTTGTCCTGACTACCGAGAAATCTCTAGTACTCCTCAAAATTACTGGAAAGCATATGAGGGTCAGATGCAGTCACAGTTACATAAAGAATCAATAACAGTTATTCCATTACAATATCCATTACAGTTATATGGGACCAAAATGTCGCCAATTTTGGTGACTTTTGGCGATTTTTCTCAAAATTTGGGGACAAAAATTAGTCGCCAAAACGATCACCAGCTTGCCGATATCTCGGCAGTTTAGCGAGATAGCCATTTACTTAGCATTAAATAGACTTGCCCCTGTATTCTTACTTTTCGTTTTTCCGGATTATAGATCATCAATTTAAATCTGGTAAGATGGCATGCAGAAATTATACAATTAAAAATATGAAGCCGTAATTTATGCAATAAAGAGGAATTATGATCTAAAGGGTATCAAAATTTACAAAAAAAAAAAAAAAAAAGCTTAATATTTATTTGTTTACTTTATTAAACATTTCTTTCAAATGTAAGTTATTTAAGTTGCTTCATTTTTTGTGCTAATACTTTCTCTTTAATTCTATAAACAGACATAATTTCTTGTTCAGTTACAAAGTTCCACTGTTCAAGTCCTGTAATTGCTGTGTCGAGAATACCGACTAACTTGTCGATCGAAATTTTTTTGTTTTCAATAACCTCTCTGTCACTTTCTTCACTATCGGAAGTGGTATTTTCTGGATCTAGAACCATACTACAGATTTCGCTGTCCGTTAATTGATTGATGATTGGGGCATTGTCGTTGCAATGGAAAAACTTCTGTTATATCATCTTCATTTATTACCGCTTCTCCACATTTCTTTACGAAGACCAATAACTGAAAAAATTTCACCTTTAGTTTGCGATGTCCAAAAACCAAATTTGTGGCTATCGTCTGCTCTACGTTACATGCGCATGCGTAAACGCATTATACGCATGCGTAAAGCATACAAAAAAAAGGTTTGTGGCTTTGAGGTCCGGATTATAAATCATTCCGGATTATGGACGTCCGGATTACGGACTTTGTACTGTATATGAAATGTAATGAATGCAGAAAACAGTAAAGATTTTGCCATTTTTTTATAGTTAATCAAATGCAAATCATGAGATCTGTGTTTTTCATGGTATAGTTGTAAATGATCCTAAATAATGCATCTGTACCGAGTTTTTTTAATTCCAGTTTGCTTATGAAGCACATATTTATAAACTATTTATATTGCATTATTAAGTATATGTGCATCAGATATAGATAATAAGATAGGGTTATAATCAATGAGTGGTAAAATTTAATTACCACACATCTAAGCTTCATACTTATATACAATTCACACTGTTGCTTAAGCTTCTGTCTTAATACTGCTGTATATTGAATAGGCATTGGTCAGTTTCTAGCTAGCAAATGTAATTGGTCTTTTTCATCTATACAGATTACATTGTATTAAACAAGTGCCAATATTTAAATTATGTTAATATTAAATATTTATAGCTTTATTGTTAGATGAAAGGATTTAAAATTACTCTGTTTGACAATATATTACTTAATGGAAACCATTTTAGATACCTCTAACATTTGACGTAAACTGCAGCTAAAGCCTTATAAAAATAAGTAAACATATGCTACTGCATAAGGGTCAAAATCCTCTGGATATCAACTTTAAGATTTAAATTTTTTTGACTTTTGATTTTATTTCTAATCCTATACATTTTTTAATACTTAAATTGGTGTTCATTCTACTAATTTCACATTAGATGTTTATTTTATTGTGTCTGATATGTGATTACCCTTCATAAGTCATCCATTTTACAGTTTTTTAAGTGATAATCTTAAGCATCTTTGATTGTATGTCTTGACAATATTGGTATATTTATTTCCTTTTTATATGCTGCTGTAGTTCTTGTACAATTTTATACACTGCTGGCAATATAATTTATTATTGAAACGTTCTGTAATTAATGTATGTGTTTAATGGATGCATTTTACCATTTCTCATGTGTATGATTTTGCATGTAGCATGGTTCACCAGATAGAAGGCAAGTTATTGCAAGTTTTTAAACATCCATCTGCCGTATATGGATGTGATTGGAATCCAAATAATGAGTAAATATACTAATATTACCTATATAACTGCTAATTGCTTTTTCAGTGAACACTTTTACATTACTATTTTTTTAAGTAAATGAGTTCATAGGTTATATTATTTCTTTATTTCAGTTTTCTTCTAATAATCATTATAATATTTATCAGAGTAAATTATCTTAGTATGATAAGAATATGCTGGTAATATTTTTTATTCTGTGCTAATTCTTAAAGGAATGTCTTTCAATGATTTCACTGTGTAATGAAGTTTATATAAATTTTGTAGCTATTAGGCTGTTTATGTTGATTCTCTATTGTCATTATATGTTCGTATTTATAAAACAAGTTTTACTCAAATGTGTTATGGCATTGTTGATGATATAGTGTTTGCAATATATATAATATATATATATATTTTAATTCAGTCTCAATTCATTTACTTCATTTGTGGTCTAGATTCTAGTCCTTTGAAGTTTCACACAGAATTTTTTCACTTCATTTAGAATTTTCTTTATGAATGAATTTGTACATTGTTATATCACGGGCAAACAACTTAACTCACTGTTAGGATTTCTATACTTCAGAAAGTGACATGTATTTCCAATTTAATTATGATTGTCTTTTAAAGATTTCAACTTAGGGAGTATAGTGCATGTATATTGATTGGCCTTGACTATCAAAGATATTTCAGAAAAACTGAAAATTGATGTATGCATCCTATAAGTCTAATATTCTTAATGATATCATTCTGAAAAGCACTATTTTATTATTGGTGTTAATTTGAACTGACCTCTCTCCAGGATAGCATCTGTCAGATCTCTGAGAAAATTTTATATACATCCTTTATTGGCAAAATACTGAGTAGACTTTTCTGGTGCTTATTTTTGTTTACTCTCCTGAGCTCTTACCCTAGTGGCTGATGGAAACATGATAAAGTACGATCAAAACATAATAGTGTTCTCTTGAAAGAATTATCACTTTTCCCAGTAATTCAAAAGTTGTATATTCTTAAATTATAAAGTAACAAATATTTGAAACATAAATGAATTGCCCTCATTTTATGGCTAAAACATCAATCTTTGATTAATAAATTCTTTGCTGTGGTTTTTCAAGCTCTGAATTAATAAACAGTTCGAATTATCATGTACATCTTCAACATACTAAATTAGAAATTTAAAAAAAAATATGCCATTTCGTTGCTATGCACCGTTTCTACCTCTGACTCTTTCTGTCACTTAAATGCTGCTTCAATTTTACTGTCATCAGTCTGTGCCACTATTTAACTATATTAGGTTGGTTTGTTTTTAATTACGGCAAAGCACTCGAGGGCTATGTGCCTAAGAGAAAGGATGCCTTCATGGAAGACTCAAGGAAACTGACTCATATCCACATCACACATGGCAATGCAGCCAGCCGGTTCATCAGGATTTAAACCCCACATTGAACTACCAATGTACAGAGACTTCACTGCCCTGCCATTGGTGGGGGAAATTATGTTAGGAAATTAATATATATGGGTACAGATTGATGTCAGGAAAATGTAGAAGTGAAAACATTGTAACACTATCTAGTTTCTTGGGTCATAGTTAAAAATTATTACTAAATATTTTTAATTTATTGTTATTGAAATCCCCAAGTACAGGGTGATTATAATTAAAGTTACGATTTCAAAACGCTTTAACATTAAAATTACAGGTAAAAATGACTTGATATTTCACCAATCCTTTCATACCAATACAATCATTTCACCAATACAATCATGAGGCAATGGAATTTTGTTTGGCAAAGGAAAAAAATAATTTCAAAATATGCCGATAGATGGTGCTCTCATGGTTCACACTGCAGTTGTAAAAGTGTGCAAATTACTAAGATGTGACATGAGCACTGCAGACTTATGCAGAGCACTAGACGAACACATAATGCTTTGCCTGAGTACTTCATCATGATAACAACGGATCACACTCTGCATGTGAAGGTTTTCTGTCAGAACGGCGACTGTGCGTAACTGGCTATCAGGAAGTTATGGACATTAATAGGCATAAAATCTGGCCCAATGGCCACTTATGGTCTGTGGAAAATGGTATATAAATTCAAAGAGACTGGTTCATTTGACATAATACAAGATAGAGGACGAAAACCAGTTTTGTCGATTGCAGTGGAAGATATGGCCACAACGATACAAGAACAGACAAACAATGATGCAAGAATCAGCAGTGCACAGAGAATTGGATGAATGTTAGATATGCCTATCAGCACAGTGCATAAAGTCCTGTGGGAACATCTTGTGGTATTATCTGTACAAGATAACTAATGTGCAACAGTTGCTACTTTGTGACCTGGAATCTTTTGCACTATGATTTCTTGCCCAGACGGAAGTGGATAAGGGATGGAATGGAACATTCTCAGGTCTGGTGAAGCCCATTACCATTTGCAAGTTTCTGTAAGTATGAGATGCTGCAGGATGTGGGTGACAGAGAATCCCATTTCCACTACAGCCATTACCATCAGTCTTAAAAGGTCACTGTGTGGTGCAGAATAATGGTAGCATTTGTCATCGGGCCGTTCTTCTTCGAGATCTCACCTGCGGGTACCGTTACCTGCACAGTTACTCGCAAGCAGTATGAAGCACTGTTGCTTAACCATGTCTATCCAGCACTTCAGCAGTGTCAGTGCTTGGATTGCACCAATAGTCATGCAAGATAGTGCTTCTCTGCACATTGCTGCTCCTGTTAAACAGCTGCAAATCCTCATTTTGGAGATGATAGAATCATAAGCTGCTATTTTTCAACAGTGTGGCTGCCACATTCCCCTGACTTGAACCTGTGTGATTTTTGGCTTGTGGGGGATACCTAAAGAATGATGAACGGGTGGATTGCAAATGTGACCAATGTGAAGGCAAGCATCTCGCACCATATTCATAGCATCAACAGAGATACCCTCCGATTTGCTGTGAAACATAGAGTTTTGTGCTTCCAACTAGTAGCAGAACAAGCCAGAGGGCATATCGAACAACTAAAGCGTTAATCATCCTTAAGGTGTTTGTTTCATGAAACTCCTCTTTTTCTCTTGCCACAACCATTGTTTTTGTTGTAAAGATGTATTCCCATCTTTTCGCTAATAAATTTGTCATAAGCCCTTAGAGTTTATTGTTTCCTTTGGGCTGACAACATTCCTGTGCTTAATGAATCCATTTAGACATTATTCCTGATAGCAACATCTATCGGTACATTTTTTAACTATTTTCTTTCTTTGCCAAACAAAATTCTATTGTCTCATGATTGTTCTGGTAAAATATCAAGTTATTCTGACCAGTAGTTTTAATGTTGGAGAATTTTGAAATTGCAACTTTAATTAAAATCACCCTGTATGTTTCAGTTTTTATGTGATTTTCATTTAAAATATTTTAAAGTATTCCATATCAGTATTAACTGAAAATGAGTCATTGGGAAAGATATTCAATCAAATGTTTTTAAGTCTATATGCATTTGTTGATCCTTTTTGTTTATTTAAACTGCTTGACTCCATCTCAGAACCTAAGTTTTAATGTCAAACTTTTGTGGAAATAGTTTTGGGTCCAGTATTTTTATTCCTATTGTAATAATTAAATTTTTTAATATACTGATCTGCATAACACCTTTGCATTAGAATCTCTCAGTTTCTCTCTCACCAATTTCATATTTGGTATTTATGCATATCTGCAAGGCTGGGTGACAAATATTTGTGGAACTGAATAAATGTGTTGAGTACATTATATGAATTTCTTAAAAATTAACCATTTTAGTTAATTGAAAGCTTTCTTCAAACTGTTCTATCACAATCAAATTTACTTTTTTACAGCACATTAAAAACTGATTATAATTAATTATTATAATGAATTTTAGTGATTAAAATTGCTTATAATTATATTAATTGAAATTGATTATAAATTGATAAAATGTCACTAACTTGAAGATGGAATTCCAGCTTTATGGGTAATGTTAATCAATTAAAACTGAAATGTAACTACGATGACTTTAGTTTGCATCTGTTCTTTAAATCCCAGTAAAATGGGTTTGGGTTTTGTAAACAATTTTGTATATTTTCATTGCGTAGGAGTTGTATATGTGACATTTCAATGTATTATGGTGAAAGTGCCAGAGATTAGAAGTATGTAAAGTGAATTTTTTTAAGAAAAATGTACAGCAATTTTTTGACTTCACACTTTAAATTATTTTATGATGTGTGAACAACCCTGTAAAATGCTTCCTTAATTTATTATTAGAAATATGATATATTCACTGTTTTCAAAGGATATTATATTTAAAGAAGCATTAAATATTAGTGAGAGAGGAAAAACTGTATACATATTCAGTTTGGCTTTAAAGCAAAGACATTTTTTATCGTAATACCTTTGTGGAAGAGGGACAAATGCATTGCAGATGCCCAAAAGTAGTTTCAAGAGATTGAAGATGAGCGAAAAATTTGTAAGATCGTTTGATTCTGAATCATTTTTGGATTTAGTGCACAACTAAGCATAAATGCATTTTTTCAACACAGGTGCCAAAGGTTTTGGCTGGTGACAAATACATCTGTTTTCTCATCTGTAGTTATGCATGCGACCTTTTGAATGCTGCTTTCTACCTCATTATGCAAGAAGCAACAGCAGAACTGTGTGATATGCTTGTGTTTATAAAGCTTTTATAAGCCTTTTATATTTCTGAAACTTTTCATTTAATGTCAGAAAATTTTATTTGTCATTCTTTATTCGTTGTGTTTTGTTGAGCTCAAGAAATTTTGTCAGATGTATTTTTAATAATTTAATTTCTTCATTAAAAGAAAATGAATACAAGTGCTTTTACTTTTTTGTCTTAGAAATATTATCGCAACTGCCTGTGAAGATGGGCTTATCAGAATTTTTTATGTTGGAAGTGGCACTGATCAGCCTTTGAAAGTGTTATCTGGTAAGAGAGGATGATTTTGTAGTAAATACTTTGTCAGAGTAAGTTAACTTTTTGGAGCTTGTTAAGTTCTTAATTTTTACTTCCTTTAACTGAAATATTTTTGATAGTGTTACTGTAATCTGATCCTTATTTCTATAGTTTTATGCTATAAATAGACATCTGATGTTAAATATTCAAACCAGATGCATTTTATATACGGCTTATAAATTCCAAGATCTTGAATCATTGGGATATCGGTGATTCTGGATTTTTCTTTTTTATATCACCAGTTTAAATCTTGTAAGATGACATGTAGACATGAAAATTTTGGGGCTTACTGTTTAGATCAGATTTAAAAAATGCTAACCCCCATAGAGCAGGTGCAACCAGTGTAGCCACACAGGGTGTCAGAATTTAGGAGACACAAAACTTTAGGATTTAGTGGAGCAATGATTACGAAAAAATTAAGAAGGGCAAAATTTTTGGTTTATGAGAGGCAATGGGCACTAGAATTAAGGGAGGTGATAGGCAGGAGAATTTAGGACCCAAAGAGATAACTATAAGCGGCAAAATGCACAGTGCTGGCCCTGGCACACCCACAGCCACTCAAGGGTTGAAAGTGAAATCCAGGCCAATATCGCTACATTGAAAGTCACTGTATTGTTATTGGCCATGCAGGTGTTAAAAAATGACAGGCAGGAATCTCGTTCAGTCTGGAGAAAAGTCCCATTTACAGAACACTTGCTTCCTTTTGTTATATTCTCCATTCCTAAATTTCGTAAGGAGGGGATTGTTTTAATAGTTTATTTTATGTATTAAATATTTAGTTGATATCTGGAGGTCCGGATAGTGGATGTCTGGATTTTGTACTTTGCACTGTATTACAAGGCAATTGTATAATTATAGTTACACAACGCAATTGATATTGAAAATGTAAATAAATCAAAAAGTAAGTACAATGCTTTGGTTATATAAGCAAATAGAGTTGTGGCACATAGATATGTGGGGAATGGAGAGTACTTGGCTTTTGCAAGTAGCTGATGTAATCAGTCATCTTCTAACCTGGGTAACCCAGCACTTACAAGAACATAAAAACTTGATTCCTGGTTTTCATGAGTTTTCTACACATTGGAGAAACAGTGTAATTATTATTATTATTATTATTATTTGGTTGAGGGTGTACAATCTAATGAAACTCATTTTAGAATAATGTGCAGTACTGGGAAGACAGGTGTATGAGGCTGAGGCATGCATATTTTCAAAGGGACAATTTGGAAAATCATCTTATGAGACAACATTTTAATCATTCTATTTGTGACTGTGGAATTGGAATGAAAGTCAGAGACTCTGTGTTCTGTTGTAATATCATTGAATGTTGTTTGTGCAAAACTAAGATTCCAGATGCAATGCTAAAGTTCTGCCTTTTTCAGTTTTGTTGTAATGGATTCTATAGAAGCAGCTCTCCAGATTGAGTTATCATCTGTAAAGAATGAATTGAGATAGTTAGTCCAGTCCTTTTGTGCGTGTGACCTAGTAAGAGACCTAATCACATCATGAAGTAGATTAAGCAGTTGCTTAACAGATGGGTGTCTAGTTCTTTGATATCGTCTCCTTGCAGCATTCCTTAATTGTGTATCCTTCATCATATTTGACTAAGCATATAACAGCTATTTTAATTTAGTTCACCTTTCCTGTCTTTCCTAGCTTCAGATTACAACTCCCTACCAGAATGAGTTTTTACTAGTGCGTTCAATGCAGATGAGAAAGAGAATAGTATTTAAGTCAAGTTCAACTGACTTCGAGACAGAGAGTGATTATTCCTGAGTAGTGCACATTTGCCTTTGGCTATGTCATATTTATATGCCATTTGATAGTTCATTGGTTAGTTCTTATTTCTTACATTTTGAGTTTAAACTCAAGTGGAGGCTTTGCTGTATGCTCTAAGAAAGGGGGCCAACTGTTAATCTTATTTTGAGTGAAATAAAGGGAAATTAATCCTTGAGTTTACGTTGCTGTTTGTGGACTTAAGGAATTATTCTCTTAGCAGTTCACTAGGTTTCTTGGTGCTTAATTTAACAGAATAAAAGTGAAGAACTATATACAGTAGCTAGAAAAGGAACAGACTGCACGTCGCTGAATGTGGCAATTTGTGGATAATGTTAATGAAACTGAAACCCAACATTAAGAAGAAATTCCTAAAACTTTACCAGTCTCAAACAATTTTTTTTTATTTGTAATTGATTTTGTCTTTATTTTTAAATTTTTAATAAAAATGTTTTTTGCTAATTTTGATGATCATTACAATTCATTTCTACTTTGTGGTTTATGATAGATAGGCAGATAAAATAGGTATAGATAATATGCAAAAATATTTTAATAGTTGGTAAAATTAACTATTCTGGAAGAAGGGGCATTGGAATTTTTTCTTACTTGTGTAAGAGGCAGTGGTCAGAAAAAGTTGAGAACCTGTGTTCTAGATGCTGAAACATACAATGAGAGATGTTTTCCCAATCTGACATTAGCCATACTGAATAGCATGTTGTATTAAGCAAATAGTTTATGTTTTTGTGAGGGGAGGGATTTTTTTCTTTAATCTGTCCCAAATGAATGGCTGGTTTTTTACATGGTAGACTTAGCTAGAATTGACTGTACTTCAGAAATCCTGCTGGTTGATTACTAAATTAGGACTTCTCCTCAGAGTGACTCTTCGGTAGAATGCATTACTTCTTGCAACTATTTGAACTAGATTTATAAAAGAGCTTGAATAGCTATCAAAAGATAGTATTTCTGTAGCAAGTGTTACAGATTTGTTTTGGAGAAAAAATAAATCTAGTAGTATTTTCTGTTTTTTGAACTTATTTAAAAACGTACTTGTTCCGTAATTGCATAGCATTTATTCATGTGCAGTATATTTTAAAACCATTTCATTGATAGTTTGTTTCATTTCTGTGTGATACATAGGTCATGAGGGAAAAGCTTTTCGAGTGAAATGGTCTCCATTGAAAGATGGAATATTATGTAGCACTTCTGATGATTGGTAAGCACAGCAAAATCTTGTGTGAAATTTTTTAAACACATGTGTTAGTTATTTTATAAAAATATTAAATATTTTATATTATTAACATTTTTAATGAGTAAAAGATTGTAACTTATCATTCTTGCAGCAACAACTTTGTTCTGTATGGTTTCAGATAAAATGTGTGTTCACAGCTCTGTTCGGGTTTGGCACTATGCCCGTGGAATAGCTGTCAGGATCCTCGAGGGTCATACAAACTATACCAGAGGTTTACTGTGGTGTCCAGAACTTCCAAATGTTGTCATATCAGGGAGCTGGGATTCCACGATAAGAGTTTGGGACATTAGCGATGGTGCTTGTTTAGATGTGATTGAAGACCACGGAGCTGATGTATATGGTAAAAATTTTCTTTTCTGTTTAAAACTGAAAGAATTTGGCATAATAAATAATGTCCAGTATCATGTTTTTTAATCATTTGATCCCTTTTACTCATTAAAAAACTTTTCAAATTTTGTTTGCTATAAGTTTTTATTTATAAACTCTATGGATTTTACCATTTTAAAATTATGTTTAGCATATAATTTTAAGACTAATGTCTAGAATACTGACTGTATACATTTCACAGTATTTTTCTGTCAGTTTTGAAGTATAATTGTCATAAAGAATGTATGCAGTAAATATATGTATTTAAAATTTTGAAGGAAAGAATGTAATGGAAAAAAATTCTTGATATTTTCACAATGTTTGAAATAATTAAGCATTGTAGTATCATTTTTTGCAATCCAAATGAGTTATGTTATCAATTCATGGTAAAAATATTGTGCCTGATTTCTGTATGATGTCTAGTAGATATGAAGTGATAATTATCATTTACAAAAGCTCTTACCTTGAAATTGTGCTCTGGTTGTTATGTTTTGTAGTCAAGACTGGCAACATGTAATTCAATCTTTCCTGTATTGCTCACATCCTTACATCTCTTGCATAATGTATTTTTACTGCAAATCTGTTCGTACTCTTCTTTATCAATAGCTGTAAGAATTGTGTCAGCCATCTTTTGTTACCCCAATCTAATTATTATTCTGTCTCTATTAGTACTGAGCTATTTTCTCTTAATTCTATTATATTTGAAGGGTAAAAGTGACACAACTTCATGGTTTTTATGGCAAAGGCACATTAATTAAAAGTCTTATAAATAATGAGAAGTTCAAAACATTTTTTTACTGTTATATATGATACAATTAACACTGATATATTAACCTTCCAGCGGGCGCGCCTTCTGCACCAACAAGAACGGTCGCGCGTATTTCTTAGATACGCTATTATAAAAAATAAATTTTCCAGAGCAAAAATATTAAAATTAGTTTGTAAATAGTTAAATGTTAATAAACACAATTAAGTTAAACAATATTAACTTTAAATTAAGGAAAATAAAATAAGTATAAAGCAAAAAAAAAAAAAAAAAAAAAAAAAACAATATAAAAGGGACTAAAGACTTATCAAACCTACCTTGAAAGTAAAACAAAATTAAACTGCCAATATTTCAGCTGAACTTTTATATTTTTAATCAGTAAGTAAAAAAACACTTTAAATATTACATAACAAATCAATTTCATAGTCACTTTATTGCATCGGTGCAGTCTGAACAAATATGTTTACAGTGCTCTAGAGAAATATAAATTTCGGAAGAATTATCATCATTATTTCCCTCTTCAGAATTGCCCTCTGCACTTATCTCCGATTCTGAATCACCTTTTTCTGAAATTCGTTCTTCTTCATCGGTAATGCTTTCATCTAAAATAATGTCCTCATCATCCTCACTGTTACATAAAAGCATATTTCTTATAATCTCAAGATCCTTCGGATAATTCATGTCGAGCATTTTACTTTTATTCGCCATAACTGAAAAGGAAAGAACAAAAATATCATACATGGTCGCGCGTATGTGACGCATACAGTGCTTCTATTTTATCATTAAAAGTAATTATGCACACAAATTATACAAAATGATAAGATTTAGATGCAAAAGAATAAAGATTTTCTATAATAAAAAAGGAAATTAGATATAGCAAAAACTTACTTCAACGGTTGCGCGTATTTCTGGAATACGAATAGTAAATCTGCAGACTCACATTAACCCCTCGAAATCTAGCAGACGACTGAAAGAAGGGTGAACGAAGAGGAGAGAATAGCCAAGAACACGCGGTCATAGCGCCTTCTGGTCTACGAAAAAAATGCGAAATTAAAATCTAGTGTATGTCACACATACGCGCGCCCGCTGGAAGGTTAAATCCTGTAAGAAAGATGAACAATTTAGGTATACTGAGCATATTAATGAAAACTGTGGTAGCATACTTCAGTAGTCATTCAGTTTAGTGTAGATCGAAAAAAAGCATTTCCTCATCATTTGATGTTGTTGGAGATAATGAATGCAAGTTAGAATGTTTTGATAGTATAAATCATGTCTTTTTTTGGGGGGAGGGATAAGTGTTAGTTACATGTGGTCTCTAAAGTGTCTCCTGTTTCAGCACTCTGCCTATCTTGAGCTCTTGGAAGTCCACAAAATGAAATTTGTTATTTGAATTGTAACTCTCTTTAAGTGGCATAGCTAATGGTGTTAAAAAGTGGATTCATCTACCTGTCAGTTACTTACATTGTGATGTATAGGTGATGCCAACCAACAAGATGTATAGAGGGCCCTAACACTCAGTCTGAAAGGCACCAAAAGTTTAATTTCCAAGAGGGAGACCTACAGAGAGGTCATACGGAAGGCCCATGGGAACCACTAATGAAAACGAAATTAACTTGTATTACTTAATGTATATATTTCAGTTATTAGTATTGTAGTTTCAGTATTTTGTGAGTGTGCAATAAATGTTTAAAATACAAGAAGGTGGATTTATTTCTCTGTGAGGTAGTGTATGAAGAAAGGGGTGATATTACATACATCCACCAGTATCCCTTTCTTAAACTACTGTATTGTTATCATCTGAGATATATTTGCTGTAAGCTTAGGTGTTGCATTTCACTTATAACTATATTTAGAGCAAATTTATTTTCTTGCTTGTCGTTCTGAAAAAGGAAGAGATGTAGTCTATGCCCAAACACAGCTATAACATTAAGTAAAATCTATGAATTTAGGAATTAAATTTTAGAGTGGTGAAAAATTATTCGTATCTCCATACATTCTCCTTTTATACTTCCACATGTTCATGAAGTGCTTTCATGGTCTTTATTTTTGCAACCAGTGGTCATAGGTGTGTACTTGTAAATATAGAAATGCTTTAAAAAGTAAGGAAAATATTTTTGCCTTTTTAAATTTTAAAAATCAATTTTACCAAAATTACAAAATCTATCTTTTCATACGGCCTTTCTATTCCTATAATTATGTTAGTAAAATGTATACTCATTCTTAAGTAAAATACAAAACAATTTACTCCCGAATGACAAATTTGTCTGAGATTTAACATTCAAGATACTAAGATTAGAAACTTTAATACTGTACTCAGAGATCGTATACAAATTGAAGAAAGAAATGTTTGCATTTGTATGTAATTAAAAATTTTTAAAAAGAAATCAGCTTTATAAAGGATTTTTAGTGTTAGCAGATTGTGACAGTTGTTGCTATGTGGACTGTCATGAAATGTATTGATCCATATGTGTAAGTCTGATCTTCTTTTTTAGGGGAGGGGGGAATCTAAAGTTTTCCCTTGCCAAAAAGGGAGATCTTATTCACAGAATCTAATAGAACTCACTTTCTGGAAAACAGTAGCATGGCTGTCAGTATTAACATAGCCAACTCGTAACACCATTTGCTTAAATTAAAAATGAAAAACAGTTTTAGTTCAATTAATTTTTTGTATGGTTATTAAATTATGGTTCTAAAGTTATAAAACAGCATGTGAATATTAATAATGTATTTTTTTGCATTTGAAAACTTATGCTTGTGCTAAAATATATTCAGCATGTATTATGTAACAATATTATAAGCTAAAGAATGTTACACACTAGTAAATTTATAAAGAATTGCTGAATGACAATAAAAGTGGGAAAATAGTTGCTTCAAATTATTGTAAATTCTTTGACCAATTCCTAAAGTCAAGCTAAAGGAGACAGCCAAAAAATTCCATTTTTAAATTAAATATTTTTACCTTATTTTTATGAGTATAAACTTCTACTAAAAATAAGTGTAGAGTTACTGAAAGTGTTAGTTTGGTTTCATAATTTTTACAAAATTGATTACTTATATTTAAAAATACCAAAAAGGATGAATATTTGTATTATTTAATTATTTATTTATTTTTGTAATTCAGAGTATACATCTGACCAATGTTTGGAAAATAAAGGATGCATAAGATGTTTTTTGGGTATGATGCATGATTGACTCTTTTCATAAAAATTGGGATATGCTCCATCTGTGCTTTGAACCACCCACTTCCACTGGGATATAATACAAGACCCTGGCAACAACCTGTTTGAAAAATAAATTAATTTTTTTTTTTTTCATCTTGAACTCAACTCTCTGACATAAATAATTCTTCTTTTTAATTCAATTTTACAATTACTAGCCTCTTTTCTCTTCAGTAAAATTTGTGCATTATTATGAAGCTGACTGTAAAGCCCCATATTATAATGTGGTGTGATAATGTGACTGTAAAGCATTAATGTGGCATTGTGGAGTATGTTTAAGATATTCAGACCTGTAAGTAGGATAAGATCAGAAGATTGAAAGGTATGAATTAAATGCAAAACTGAAAAATATCTGAATACAGCCTTTTACCCTTCTGTATAAAAAATGTGCTTGTGAAACATTTTGTAACCTGAAATGCGGAAAACAAAGAAGGACTAATCATTAATTTGTACAAGGAAAAATGATTTAAGCACTTGTTGGACTAAAAAAACTGTCAAATCCATGCAAAATTACACATAAAACACAGAATTAATTAAATATATTAAAATTGAGACATAATTTTCCTACCTATTCTGTGTGAAGTCAATATATATATATATACAAGTGTATTTTCACTCACTAGAAAAAGAAATAAAGCAAGCAAAGTGGGTGGCTTAGAAGCATTAGTTGGCTGGGATATAGGGCAAAGGAAAAAGGTCATTTATTGTCATCTGACATTTTGATAAACCACAGCAGACATGTCCTCTTGCATCTCGGATGTTTCAGGATGAGTTGCTAAATTTTGCCATGAATTTGTTAATGATGTGAAATATGCAGTAGAATTGCTTACATAGACTCAAACATCTCTATACTCTATACTGCATGCATATGGATGTGTATTTAAACACGTTACAGGCTAACCATAAAATATGATGTCCTTTCAAAATTAGGTTTACATTTTCTAAAATCTTAAAAAAAAAAATAGTGTTTTCATTATTTTCCAAAAAGAGAAAAATTATCAAAGTAGTTTCCATAAACCGCCCAGTGGCGAAGTGGCTAGTGCATCGCACAGCTGCACCACAGGTTTGGGGCTCAATCCCTGGGGTGGGCAAGGTTGACTCAGAGTTTCATCCCTTGAATGGCTTGATAAAATGAGTACCAAGTTCGCTTGGGGACTAAACATCAAGGGTCCTGTGACAAGCTGATCGCTTGCTCAGAGCATATGCTGATGCACCCTTTGGTCCAAGGTCAAGAAAGCAGATTTTGGGGCACTGCAGGCCGTGGCCCACTAGGGCTCTTGTGCCACCGAGTTTAGTTTATTTTCCATAAGCAAAAATGCTTGCAATCATTAATACACATGGAATAAAAATTTGAGTTTTTGAGATTGAATGTTTGAGTAATTTTTATTAAAAAATTCCAACCTATTATTACATGCAAAATAGTTCCAGTTATTTAAAAATCTTGTTATTTAGGTTTAGCTTGTCATGCTGAAAGACCATTTGTCCTTGCAAGCACATCTAGAGATTCTACTGTTCGTTTATGGTCTGTTTTACCTCTAGTTTCAACTATTTATTTAAGAATAATACTTTCTAGACCAGTACAAGAAATATTTTCTCCATCAGGTATGTGTTCATACAGTAATTTGTTCATTTTTCCATTATAATAATTTATAAAGACTGTATTGATAGTAGTTCGTGATATATATTAATTAAAATAAGTTTTTGCCTTTTGATAAAAAAATTCTGTCAGAATTATATGCTGAAAGGGGCTGTTCTTGTGGATGTTTAAGCATGCTTTCAGTTCATCTGGAAATAGAATTTTAACTTAATCTTCAACTGGTGTCATGAAACATTCAGAACGAAAGTAGTGGAGGAAAGTATTTTTGAAGATTTTGTTATTACATATTAATATTTAACATTTGTTTTATGAAGCTTTTTTTTAACTTTATTTCACTTTCTATTAATGTTTAAAAAAATTAATTTTAGGGAAAAAGTTTTCTTTTAAACTCAATGAAAATTAAGTCATATTTGATGAGAATTTATGTCATTTTTCATTGTTGCGTTAAGTTTTATAAGTGCACATAACGAAATATCTTAGTGTAAAATAAGTGTGGTATAAGTACAGTTTAAATTTAAAAATTAAATTAGTAATGTTCCCCCTTTCTTTTACAGTTGTTTATTTTATATGAGTTTTAAACAGTTGTTTATTTTATATGGGTTGTGAGCTCCATGCAAGATAGAGCTCGTCAATCATAGGCATTTACACATATTTCTTTCTATAGCATGTTATTTTTATCCTTGTTTAAAAACAGAAAGTGTGCCTCTTATGTTTAGTTCTTATTATCATTTTATTTTCTTTGAAAATTTTCATGTAAGAAATTTCGAATGAGGGTTCAAAATTAAGTTCAAGCTTCTCCTTTGCAGGTAAGATAACTGATCCAAGCCTTTTTTTTTTTTTTTTTTTTCTTGACTGAATTGACATATTTTCTTTTTTAGCCTGGAAAGATGGCTTATTCTAGTTTGTGAAGGACTGTAGACATTATGAGGTAGCTTTTCAGAAGACATTTTTCAGTAAAATGCTCTCCTTTTACTCTAAAGAGATTGCGTTTGTATATTTGAGTGACTATGTTGTCCCTCATCCATTATTACAGAATGTGCTTGAACCACCCCGTTCCAAGGTGGTTAAAAGCTTCAAACACTGATAATTCTTCCTGCGATCTGATTTCTATAGTCTAATGGGCTAGATGCATGATTTATTTCCCTTCCATGTAAACGTAAATATAGGCCGGTTTCTCATAAAACATCTTTCTCAGAAGCATACCTCATCATAAGCAAATAACTATAATGTGGTTTGCCGTAATCAAATAATCCAATCCATTCCAGATTTTCTGTCATGATTGTTATTTGTAATGTGGATTTCCTTTATCGGAATCGATTCTTTTACAGTTTTTGTTCACATAAGTTTCATTTAACAGCACACTGGCTTTTTCTTCAAAATCTAAATCAAAAATGATTTATTGATGGAAAAAAAAAAAAAAAAAAAAAAAAACTACGGCATTTTGATCTTCCTGTGGAGGAATGGTCATGAAAGAAATAGGAATGCAGCAGGCGCTGTGGAGGCGTTTTCTTACCCAGTGACCTCTGAAACTGAAAAAGAAATGGGAGTGGCTATTGCGCTAAAAACTTTGCTGCAGTTTTCAACATTATTCTTGAACAAATCAGTACTTTCTGTAGTATAAGGAATAAAGTATAAATAGAGAAATAGACCGGCACATCTTAATGCTTCTAATGTTTGCTGTCATCTAGAAAGCTACATGTTTGCAAAGAGTGGAACACGGACTTAATCAAGCCACGCAGATCAAACCCTGCTTTAATTACTTGCAGGGCTTGATTACTGTCTAAGCCTACAAACCTGTGGCCTAGGCTCCCAGAGTATTATAGCCTTGTTGTTTATAATTCTTTTGTTCTTCATAAAAATATATTGGCTATCTTTATCGGCTCTTCCCATGCTGTTATTTCTATCTTGTTTGCTACCCCCGCCCCCATCCTATTCTTTTTTTGAGAAAAATTAGCACGTGAAGTATAAAGAATGGAATTTGGGAATATAGTCTATTGGATTATTTGTGTGCTACACCTTCATTTTGTCTTTTCAGATACATAAAATGCATTCAGGTGCATAAAATAGCATTCTTTTACATTTACTTTATAATTTTATGTAAGAATTTTTCCATTCCAATCTTGAAAGATTGTTATTTCTTCAACAGTCCATAAATTAATAGTTGAATATACACAGTAATACATTCTATCAATTAATGTAAACATGAAACACAACAGTAATATCTCTATATTTGTAATAATAAAAGAGAGATGCCTATGAGTGCATATGTGTATGTCACATAGTGCAAAGATATAGGACCAGAGCTATTGATATTCAGTACACTTATTGGTTGGACAGTGAAGGTGTGCACCATGAAGCGATTTTTTTTTTTTTTTTTTTTTTTTTTTTTCAGAACTCGATTTCAAATTTTTTGTTTAGTGTTGAAATGATTTTTTTTTTTTTTTTTGGATTTTTCATTCATATGTTCGCTTTATGACTGAACTAAGAAAGCTAAACTTACCTGTTTTCTCCATAACATAATTTATCAATCCGGTTATTTTTCAAAAATAGGTCAATTTTTTTGATAATTTTATCAGTATTAAACTCCCGCATCTTAAAATATCGGTTTCATACCTTTCTGAAATTTTTGCAGATTATTTCCCTGTTTTGAAACAAGGAAGATAAATTAACTCGGTTAAAAGAAAGATTCAAGAAAGATTAATTAAGTTTCCAGAACTCTTTTTAATAATATAATTATGACATTATGGAGTTGTTTCCATTTTTGAGACCCATTAGCTGGTCATAACATGATTTACCTCACATAGTTTTGAAGATATGTTGTGAGTATCCTCTCACCATTATCCCTCTTCCACACAGATTCCTCCTTTATTTGAAAAAAAAATCATACTTTAGAAATCTGCCACTTTACAAGTACTATCTTCCTCCCTTCTTCAGCCTGCTCATCAGCAGCCGAGCGGTAAAGTCACAGAACACTGGTAGTTCGGTCCGAGGTTCGAATCCCACGAACGAGCTGGCTGCATGGGTATTTTCATGGTTTTCCTCATGTTTAACGTGTATATGAGCCAGTTCCCTTAGAAAGTCCTCCACGAAGGTATCCCTCCCTTTAGGCAGATAGCCCTAGTGTGCTTTGCCGTAATTAAAATAAACCAAACCCTTCTTCAGCCTAAGTTTTTCATTTAGTTTCCTAAGTTCTTCCCCTTCTTCAGCTTAAGTTTCATTCAGTTCATTTTATTAATCATATTTTCTCATTGCTATATGTTTTTAGATTTATTGCATAAATCGTTGCAAATCGTCGGTTGCAAATATAATTATATTGGGAGACACTAACAGAATTTTAAAGAGCAGTAGAAGTGATAATATGCAAATAACATACATAAAAATAATTGCATTCAGTTCCTTTAAATTTCTTGTCAACAATTTTGAGTTAAAATTAGTCATTATTAATGCATCCAGGACATTATTTTTGATCCCATATGACAAAGATATTGTGATAGCTAAAAAAATTATTTTTTACTGTAATGCTTTTAAAAGCAAAAATTTTTTATGTTTTTGTTTTTGTTTATTATTTTTCATTATAAACTCCCCTCCTCAGTACTTTTATGAATGTTTCTGATACTTCTATGTTTTATATGGAAATATTTTCGTCTTTCTATGTGAAGAATGATGTGTTATAAAAGTAACTTTTTAAAGCTGCTATTGTATGATAAAGGCACTTTTTGTGTACAAGTTTTTCTTCTAATATGTAACGAAGTTAACGATCGAATCTTGTTTTCGATCTTTAATACATAGATTATGCATGATTTTAAAATTTTAGAATAATCTGATAGTAATTTTTCCTTTATAATCAGATTCAAGCTTTTTTCAGTTTGAAAAAATCCAATATAATACAGTACAAAGTCCGAAATCTAAAATCCTTAGGACTTTGATGGTTCTGGGTTTCAGAAATTTCCAGATTTGGGCTCAACAATTTAAATCTAGTAAGAATACATGTAAAAATTAAGAAACAAAATATGAAAACTTGTTTCTGAAATAATGAAGCATTTATGATCTCAAAGAAACAAAATTTACCCAAAAAATATTTCACGTTAACATTTTTTTTTTCTTTCATTAAAAGTTTTTTTGACATTACTTGTTTAAGCAGTTTCCTTTCATCTGTTCATGCATTCCCTTTAATTTTATATAAATAATTTCTTGTTTGCTTATAAAGTTTCATTGCTCAGGTTCTATAACTATCATGTCAAGAAGTCCCATTTTTTAATTTTCAATAACATCTTCATCACTTTCTTCACAATCAGTGGTAATATTTACTGGATTTAAGAACCATACTAGAGGTTTTACCATCCATCAATTAATTATGTTTGGGACATAGTCAAAACTGCCTTCTTCCATGCTATACCAATGAAAGGAATCAAGTATGTGCAACATTCCACTCATTGATCTTAAGGGTAATCATTTAATGCTTGCATTATATAAGATAACAAGAGGCTGCACCCCGACAACTATTCCAGAGCTGAAAATGAAAATGTAGTTCACTTACCAGCGTGTATTTAACCTCTTAATGCACACAGTTGAGTTAACTTGGATACATCAAAGTAAATTACTTCCATGCATCAGTATTTTTTTTTTTTTTCCTCAGATATGAAACCAGCAGAATATATTCACTAGAGCTGTGAGTTAAAATGCTAAAAGAAGTTGAATTAAAATAAGAATGAAAAAATTAGCATGTAAAGAACACTTTCAGAATTGTTATTATTGCATTAAAGGTTTAAAGCTGAAACAACATGTAGGAGGAAAGAATAATGAAAGATCCAAATAATAAACCAGTTATTGGATGTCCAGACTTCAGACTTTGTACTTTTTAGACTTGTTTATGTGTTTTTTTGTACCATATATTTCTGTGTTATTAGTTTACAGATTCAGAAAATCATATCAGAATCCTTGTTTTCCTTCCATTACTCTGTGAATTAATAATATATGCAGTACCAAGGATTTTAATTGTACTAATCTCCTGTATTTCAGCTGGCCAGCCTACTGAAGAATTTGAAGAAACTTTAGGATTGTATGGATCACAGTCAAAAGTTGTTAAAGATTTTATAACTAAAAATCATGATCATTGCAACCCTGATATGTGGCGAGCAGTTTCATCCTTGTTTTGTGTAAGAAATGTCCATTTTATATGTATATGTGCACACATACATATCTATATATTTATAAAATGGTGAAACTTTTAGATTTTAGGTACCAGCTATATTGTTCTTATTTTATGAAATTTGTACATTACATATTACATATCAGGTCCTTCTTTTCATTAAAATAAGCTAACTCGTGACCAGGCGGTAAGATCGCTGAACACTGATAGTTCAACATGGATTCAAATCTCAGTGAACAAGCTGGCCTTATGTAAGTGTGCATGATTTCCCTCCTTAAGTAACATGAATATAAGGCAGTTTCCCTTAAAACATCCTCTATGAAGGCATCCTTTCCTGTAGGCTGAAAACCCTTGAGTTCCTTTGTCTTAATTTTACTTAGCATAACCTTCATTAAATAAAAATTGAATTATAGGTTGACTTAGGTCTAATTGTTTACTTCATATGTTACAGTTGTAAATATAAGTAATATTTTTGACTGTAAACAGCATGTAATTTACAGATAATGTATGTACAGTGCAAAGTTCATGATCAGGAAATGTCAGAATTTCTGCAATTCCCAGATTATAAATCAGCAGCTTAAATCTAATAAGATGACATGTAGAGATTATAAAATAAAATTATGTGATAGTTGTTTATGAAATAATGCTACATAGATGACCATAAGGGAACTGGGATTTATGAAAAAGCTCAATATTTGTTTGCATGTTTTATTAAACGTTTCTTTCAATGTAAGTTGTTTAAGCTCTTTCATTTTGGTGCTCATACTTTCTTTTTAATTTTGTAGATAGGTATCATTTCTTTTTGAGTTATGAAGTTTTGTTGTTCAAGTCCTGTAATTCTCACACTGAGAATGCTGACTAAACCCTTGTTTTCATCTGCACCAGCCTCTTTGTCTTTTCTTCACTATCAGTAGTGATATTCTCTGAGTTTAAAAGCATACTACCTATTTCATCATCCTTTAGTTGATGGATAAATGGGTATTGCGATCACCAATGAAGAGCTTCTGTTACATCATGTTTTCTTACAATTTCTCCACATTTTTTTCACAAATTCCATTAATTGGAAAATTTTGACTTTTGCTTATGATATTAAAAAAGGCCTTCAAATTTGCAGCTTCATCACTACTATCGTAAAAAGAAACTACAAAATGAATTTGAACTTATTTTAGTAGAATCAAAACAAATGGCCATAAAGTGGGATTATTACTTCAGAATTTCCAATGAAGAGACAAAATAAGATAAAATATCATTTGAGGAGTCTTTGACATATCATAAATTTCAATCCCATAAAAATATTTTAAGGTGAATATATTTTCACATTTTAGACATTAATTTAGAACAAATAAATTATCGATTTACTGGCATGACAAACGTGAGAGATCAATTTTGCTTTTTGGAACCTCTTATAATCCATGCTAATAAAACTGAATATATATAAAAATATGACAATTTAGTACATAATTATTCTAAAATATTGTTGCCAGAGTTTACTTTACAATTTATAAATATATTATAGTTCTGTAAAGATGATCTTAATAATTAAAAATGAATAATTTGAAAAAATATTGAATTATCTGGTTTATAAATCAAAAAGCCACCAGTTTCAGTATAAGTGAAGTATTAATTGACTACAGTTCAACAGCTGTAAAAAGTAGTTGTGGTAACTTCAACAAATGAAAAAAGTAATTTTGTAGTGTAAACTACAAAGTTATACTGAACTTCTATTGTATCATAAAAAGCTTCTATTGTAACATAAATATGAATAATTTGAAAAAAGGAAAATATAAAATTACTTGGAAAATTAATCCCAAGATGAAGGCAATTTCAGTTCAAGAGAAGTATTAATTCACTTCATTTCAATGAAAAAAAAAGTTGTACTGTTTAGCACAATGTATGAGAAAAGTTATAGTGTTTAAATAATATTTTTTTTAATTGTAATGCTCCGTGAAAACATTTTTTGAAAAAGTAAAAAATTTGAGGAATAAACAAATAAAAATTGTGATGTAGTAAGGGCTGTATCAAGTAAACTGTGAGCATGTTTTGCCCTCTATTTCTTGTGCCATATTGTTCCTGTTTTTTGGATTTTGCATGCGGTTTATTCCAGATAGAATATGGGATGGATTTTAAGCATATTTTTTTTTTTTTATTTTGTGTTTTTACCCACATTTGTTGCTGCTATTAGTGCAAAATTGGATTAGGTTTTGAACTGTTTTTACACCTGTGGTCACGTGACACATATCTATACAGTAATCAAATTCTGCCCATCTTCTGTGTAGCATGTCCACTGTGATGGTCTGCTTCATCCGACCACAAACTATCTCAATGGACATTACATAAACTTGCATTGACAGTACATAACTTGGTCTTTAACAAGCCTCCAAAAAGGAAATCACATGGTGTTAAATTCTGCAAACAGGGTAGCCAGAAGAAAAGGTTGTTGTCTGCTGTTGCAGCACGTCCAATCCAGTGTTGGGGAAGAATACGATTCAGAAGTTTTCGTACATTGCTGTGAAAATGGGGCGGAGCACCATCTCTTTGCAAAATGTAATCATCAGAATTGGTTTCAGCCAGGATAAAAATCAGGTTCGATATATCTAGAAATGAGTCACCAATCACAGTTTCTTGTTTGGGATGTGCACTTTCTTGTGGGACACCGCACAGAAAATGTGCAGGAAACTCACACTGCACTGAAAACACAGATCTGGACACCTCAAAACGGAGCAGACAGAAAGCTTTCCCTATTATGGCACCATCTTGGAAACACGCTGCGGCTGCACAGTAAGCATAACAAGCAAACAGTAGGTAGCACATGAGAAACTTGGATAGTTGTTAATGCTTATATTGTAGGTTTTTACATGGATAAGGTATTACATAGATTTATTATTAATTCTTAAAACCACACCATTCTTTTATAAACACCCTGTATGTATAGAAAAAGAAATTAAAATCTTTAAAAATATAAATGCTATCTAAATCAAAGAAATAATTGCACTTTAGCAGCAAAAATATATTTTTGTCCTTTTCCCTGATGATTGCAAAAATAGCTCAATATGACTTTTCTAATACACCCTATAATAAAAAAAATGATAGACCAAGAAGGAATTATCCGATTGCTTTGAAATGTCATATGCGTAAATGTTTTGACCAAATATGCAAATGATTAAAATTTGGTGTCCAATAAATGAATAGTGTAATCTCCACCGCATCGGGACTGTGCATCCAGCAGATGTATATAAGGAGCTGTTTTTAAACTGCTGTTAAAAATTTCTGTTGTATTGCGATTAGGATACCTTTCAACGACTGAAAAAAGTCTCACCGCAGGTTTCGAGCTCATTACGAGCAACTATCAGAGTTTGAAAGAGGTCTCTCATTGGATTGTAAGAGGCAGGTTAGGCAAATTGGAGAATTGCTCATCATATGAGTCGAAGCGATGCGTCGAATAGAAGATGCTGGCAAGAATGGGTGGACAATGGCAGATTTCAGCATCATAATGGTAGTGGTCGACCTCGGGCCACAACAGATCAGGAGGACAGAGTGATTGTCAGATCAGCTGTCACAGTGCCTGATTCATCGCTATCAACCAGCAGACATGCAACCCGCATATGAGTGTCCACCATGACCATTCACAAACGACTGATACAGAAAAATCTATACTCGTACCAACCGTTACGCCAGCTTACACTCACGCCTGCACACTGTTGAGCCAAATTACAGTGGTGCTTGGCTCGATAAGGTTCGAATGATGCTGAGTGGGGACGTATAGTCTTTAGCAATGAATCCCGCTCCCAACCGTATCGTGACGATCTTCGAAGACGTCCAGAGCAGTGTTCCGATCCTGCTTTCAATATCGCACACCACACAGGCCCTTAACAAAGAGTTATGGTCTGGGGTGCCATTTCCCTTGATAGCCGGAACCCTTTGGTCATCATTAGATGCACACGTACAGCAAAGTGGTATGTCGACAACGTTCTGTGAACTGTTTAGCTACTGTTCCTTTTGCATTACCCTGGCCTTATTTTTCAGCACGATAATGGCAGAACACATACAGAACATGTTGCTATAAACTTTCTTACAGCATTTCAGACACTTCCTTGGTCAGCCAGATCTCTCTCCCGTCAAGCATGTCTGGGATATGATGGAAAGCTGACTGCATCTACCGAGGAATGTTGATGACAAAGCCTGACAATTGGAGCAAATTTGGCAAGAAATACTGCAGGAGACCATCAGGGAGCTTTATCAGTCTATGCTATGCAGTGTGGCAGTTCGCATCCAAGGTAGAGATGGGTCAGCACCTTATTGCGATAGTTACTTTGTAATTATGTAATTCTGAAATAAATCTTTCAATTGTTCTGAAATTTTAATCATTTTCTATTCTGTACCTAATCTTCCTATCCTCCTTCTTGGTATGACAATTTTTTTTTGTTATAGAGTGTATTTTGGTTATTTGACTTACTTCACTTTTGCTAAAGTTCTTTTTTTTTTCGGGGGGGGGGGAGGCTGGTTCTCAACTTTTGCATTTTTAAAATTATATTTACAAAGGTTATAATTTTAGTATTTAATATAATATGGTTACAATATATATGCTGTAATGAAAAGAAAGAGAAAAAGATGTAGCAGTGTTCATAGCATAGCATGTAGACAGGTTAGAATGTAGATCCATATTGAAGAGGAAGAATTCTGATTGCATAGAATGCTAAAAAGTTGAATCCATAATGATTAGGAAACTTGGCAGCCAAATAAGATTAAATTTTTACTTTTATTTCAATGACATTTGTGACACAATTTACTTGACTCTAATCGTGCCTATTCAAGAATGTTTACATTTTTTAATACTGTTGCAATAGAAAGAGCACACAGCGAAAAAGCATCATTATATGAAGAGAGACAGAAGCTAAAGTGAAGGCAATTATCCAATATGCAGGCTCACCAAGAGAAGGTTTTGCTCTGTTTCAGTTCTCAAAATTTTGGGCTCAAGTTCTGAATTAGCTAAATCGTCAGTGTAACGCA